GCCCTGGACCTCTCCACCTGGACATCCCATGGGCCTCTCAACTCAACGGTCCAATACTCACCTCATTGTCTTCACCAACCTGCTCCTTCCGGCACCCCCCGCCCCATCTTGGGGATAGCACCTCCATCCCCTGCACCCCTAAAGCTAGAAACCAGGGGATCTTCCTCAAAGCCATTCTCTCCCTCAGTCCCGGCCTGGGTCTCTCGCTCCCTCCACGCCCTGGTCCCCAGACCTCCAGTCCTGCCTGCCTTCCCCTTCCTACCCGCCACTGCCGCCAGAATCACCTGGTTTATCGTCTGCTCCCCAGGGCAAAGCCCTAACTTCTCTGGATGGTTCCAGGGCCTTAACCATCAGCTTCCAACCAGCCACCCCAGCTTCTTGCTCTCTCCCTATTTCCCAGCCTCCTCTGCAGCCACTCTGGGTTGCTAATGCCCTGCATTTTCACACTTTCAAGCTGATCGGACTGCTCTCTCTGGATGAAGGTCATCCTTCTCCTGTCCATCCAGCAAACTCCTATTCATTCTCTGAGGCTCAGCCCATGGGCCCCTGCCTCTCTCTAGCGCTCCCTGAATACTTCAGGTAGATAGCATTGCCTTGGTGCTCCTCCAGAGTGTGCTTCACAGGAAATGCTATTAGAGCCTTTTATTAAGCTGGCACTCAGTGCTAGCTACACACACACGCATGTGCACATGCACACACATGCGCATATAAATCCTGTTCCTTGTGACAGTGCCCTGGATAAGGTACTATTATGCCCATTTAACAGAGAATAAAATGAGGCTTAAAGGGGTTAAATAACTTGCCCAAGTGCACACAGCCAGTGCGTGCAGGAGCCAGGGTCGGAGCCTGAGTTTTATTTTGTTGTATGGAGGTGTACGATCATTGTTTCTTTTATTTATTTATTTTTCCCCCAAAGCCCCAGTAGATAGTTGTATGTCATAGTTGCACATCCTTCTAGTTGCTGTATGTGGGAAGCAGCCTCAGCGTGGCTGGAGAAGCGGTGCGTCGGTGCGCACCCGGGATCCGAACCAGGGCCGCCAGCAGCGTAGCGCGTGCACCCAACCGCTAAGCCACGGGGCCAGCCCTGATCATTGTTTCTTTAAATCACTCTGCTTCAAGACTTGGAGCTGCTGAAGAGAGTCCATTATTTCTCTGTGCACCCCCAGCATCTTCTCAGGCTTTGGCACACAGTAAGTGTTCAATAGACGCGCGTGTGTGTGTGTGTGTGTGTGTGTGTGTATCCTTTGTTTTACATCTTTATTGATGTACAATAAACTGCAAGTTTTTGGAGTATATAATTTGGTGAGTTTTGACATCTGTGTACATCCATGAAACTGACACCACAAGGAAGGCAATGAACACGTTCATCACCCTCAGGGTTTCCTTGTACCCCTCTGTAACTCCTAATCTGCTATTACTTTACACTGGTTTTCATTTTTGAGAATTTTATATAAATGGAGCCAGACTGCATGAACTTTTTAAAAACTGGCTTCTCTCTCTCAACTTAATATTTTGAAATTCCTCCATCATTATGCATATCAATGGTTTGTTCAAGATTTAAAACTTCTACTCTGGGGCCGGCCAGGTGGCGCAGTGGTTAAGTGCGCGCGCTCCGCTTTGGCGGCCCGGGGTTCACAGGTTCGGATCCCGGGCGCGCACTGATGCACCGCTTGTCAAGCCATGCTGTGGCGGCGTCCCATATGAAGTGGAGGAAGATGAGCATGGATGTTAGCCCAGGGCCAGTCTTCCTCAGCAAAAAGAGGAGGATGGGCAGATGTTAGCTCAGGGCCAATCTTCCTCACAAAAAAAAAAAGAAATTTCCAAACTATTTTCCAAAGTGGTTGTAGTATTTTGAATTCTCACCAACAGTGTATGAGAGTTTCAGTTGCTCTACATTCTCCCTATCATTTGGTATGGTCATATCTTTAAATTGTAGCTATTCTAGTGAATAGGTAGTGGTATCTCATAGTGGTTTTAATTTGCATTTCTCTAATGAGTAATGATGTTGAGCATCTTTTAATGTGCTTGCTTGCCATTTATATATCTTCTTTGGTGAAACATCTATGCAAATTTTTTTTTGGCCATTGTTATGTTTATCTTTTTATTGTTGAGATGTAAGAGCTTTTACATATTCTAGATACAAGTCCTTTGTCAATGTATGTTTTGAATATATTTCCTCCCAGCATGTGCCTTGCTTTTTCACTTTTTGTAGTTGTATTTTTGAAGAGTAGAAGTTTTTTGGGTTCTTTGTTTGTTCTTTTGTGAGGAAGACTAACCCTGAGCTAACATCCGATGCCGGTCCTCCTCTTTTTGCTGAGGAAGATTGGCCCTGGGCTAACATCCGTGCCCATCTTCCTCCACTTTATATGGGACACCGCCACAGCATGGCTTGACAAGCGGTGCGTCGGGGCGCGCCCGGGATCAGTACCAGAGAACCCAGGGCTGCCGCAGCGAAGCACGTGCACTTAACTGCTTGCGCCACCGGCCTGGCCCCTGGACATTTCTTAAAAACTATGCATACGCCTACCATTCAACATACCAAGACAAAGGAAAGCATATGTCCACACAGACTTGTACACAAATGTTTAGAGCAGCTTTGTTCATAATTGCCTAAAACTGGAAATCACTCAAATTATAATATCCATGCAACGGGATACTACCCAGCAATAAAAACAAATATTTGTTAAAGTGTATTGGAAAGAATTCCAAGGACAGAGCATGCAATACTGAACTCAGTCACTAGGTGGCAGCAAACGCCCACTCATTTCTACTATCAATTCGCATCTTCTGTAGCTATTCTTCCTTACCACAGTAGACAGACAGGGCATTATCCCCATTTAACACGTGGAAACATGGAGGCCTGGAGAGGGCAGGTGACACCCCAAGTTTGCCAACTTGTCAGAGCCAGGATCCAGGATCTGACATATGACTCAGATTTTTCTGGACTTCTGAATCAACAACCCAGGTAGACACTCCCACACTTCACCTTCCCCCACACCTTGTCCCCTCCCCGCAAGTCCTCTCTCTCTCTGAAGTCAGCAGTCTGCTGCCCAAGACCATATCAAGCAGCCCTGGGTGGCTTGAGGGGAAGCTTGGAGAGGCTGGGAAACGGTGGCGCTACCGCTTGAACTCAGGTTTGTTGTAGCCCCGCCTACTGGGATTATCAGAACGATGAAATCCAGAAAAACCAGTGTGAGAGCCCTTTGGACAGCTGGAGGAGTATATAAAGGACATGCCTGGGGTTTGTTTGTATGTTATCAAGACCTAGCCCCTCGCCTTGGACATAACTGTTGGGGGAATTTTGTGTTGGCCTCCTTCTCCATTCCCTTTTGTGCTCAGAGGGTGGAAGCAGCATTCAGCCGACTTTTCTGCCCCTTCCTGTCGCTGACTCTGTCTGGCCTTTATGTTTCCAATCCTGGCCCACTTTGAACCTGCTCAACACCAGGTACCATACAGCCCCTGGCAAATCCCCAGCTCCTCCTTTCTTACTTCTTTGCTCTCCAGTGAAGTCTTTGTGCTTCCAGGGAGCCTTCTGGCTCTGGGAACACATGGAAGACCTTTCTCCATAAGACAGAGTCTCGGTATCAATTCAGAATAAGCATTTAATCAATTGAGCCCAGGGGACCAGGGTGTCTAGTTCAGCTTCTCCCTACCCACTGTCCAGGTTAGATCACTTCAAGGGAAGAGAAAGGCCCTCTGCCCAGGGCCTGCCCAGGCTGAGTAGATTGGGGTTGGTCTGCTGCTGACCTGTCTGGACCGTCACTTCATCTGTGAGGACATTCATGCTCTAAAGTAACAGCAACATAAAGCGTTGGAGACCAACTAGGGTTCAAATCCGTTTCCTGCCTTGGCAAAGTGACCCCATCAGAGCCTGCTTCCCCACCTGCAACACGAGTTTAACACCTTCTTCAGCTGTGGGTTCAGTAACGCAGGAAAGAGCTGTTTCCTGTAGCCCCTACAGCAGGCTGAAAGAGTGGCCATTCCTCAAAGGCTCCCCGGGCTGGGAGATCTGTGCTGGCTGCAGCCTTTTTCAGACCTGGGCCCCACTCGCTGGGTTTACTGGGATGAGCGTCTCCCACCTCAGTTCAGGGAATAGGGTCTGAGTAGGAGCAGGGAGACCTCAGGCATTAAGAGGCCAGGTGGGACATTGAGGGCATTTCAGCATTTTATTTGCAACTCAGGGGACATCGCCTGGTATCCACAGGACAACAGGGGACCACATGACTGAGTTGTGGTTGTTTGGGCACTGACAACTGAGAAAGGACAATGTGACCATGAGTCACCCAAGGCTTGGGCACTGACAACTGAGAAAGGACAATGTGACCATGAGTCAGCCAAGGCTTCAGAGCCGGCACCACAGCTCACTTTTTATTGGCTAAAAAAGTGCCTCTAAACTTAGGTCTTTCATAGAAGCAATGGAAACACCCCTCCTCCCCATCCCCCAGCTGTTTCTCTCCACCCAGCCCAGCTCACTGCCAACTGCTCCCTCAACAGTGGAAAAGCAGGCTGCTTAAAGCAAGTTCCCACTGTGGACCTTACTGGGTCTTTGAGGTCACTCACCCACTACCCTCCACCACCTTCCCCCTCCAGGCCCCTCCCCTACTTGAAGATTGCACCGAGTGACAGCGCTGTGTACTTGTTATTAGCCCACAAGTTAAAACAGAACAAGGCGGAGCCCCCACAAAACACCCATCTTCTCCCATCTACACTCATGAAAGATTCCGTTTAATATACACAAGAACCACACCAATGAAGAGCTTTTCAATTTTTATTAATAGTAATCTCAAGTTTTTAATAGTGAGGCTTCTTCAAACACTAGATGCATGGGGAATACCTGAAAACGAAAGACAAGGCTGTTACATGAGGTTTCCATGTAAATTCAAATACAAACACAGACCCCGGTTACTGACAAATTCAGCAAAGATGTACAGTTTGAAGCTACTTTACTGTATGTCCCATCTCCCCCAAGTCCAGAGCCTGGCACCTGAAGACAAGAGGAGGAAGATGGAAAGAGTCCTGAAGGCAGAGGCTACAGTCAAGCAAAGACGCCACAGGGATTTGAACCCTGTCCTGGAAACCAGGAGTGCCAATCACTAGCATCTTTTGCTTTTTTTTTTAAGCTAGGAAAAGGCTAAAAAGCAAAACCTGAGAAAACAAGATTTTGTTTTCTCAGGAAAAGAAAAACCTTTACAACCCTACTGAAGAGCACTGGAGAATCTCCTTCAGCTAAGATGCTAGCGTGGCCAAGTCTGTTATGTTCACCTGAAAAAGTCTTAGCAGAGAATTTTTGCAATCCCACCCAACAGCCCTCAACCACTAAAATGCCTATCTTCTTCAGTTTTTAAAAGTTATACTTTCCCACCCAGCATTACAGTTCTTAAACATTATTCTCCATTTAGTGGTCTGGTTTAATCACTGGACAGTAGTGCTATATACTTCAACATCAGAACTTTTAGTTGTGGTTTTAATAACATTAACCATTTGCAAGCAAATTAATGGCCTTTTCTAGCAGTGTAACCCACCACAAGACCTTGGCATCACTGTTACCTTGAAACTGATAATAGATCATGCCCACAAGGATCCAAGCTACCGGCAGCATCGAGGTGAGGGGTGAAGGGTCTGCGCTAGGCCAAAGGCAGGGGGTGGCGATGTGGCAGAGAAGTCACTTGTGGGGAGACCTTGCTTTTAACAGGCTTCTGGAAAAGCTAGGGAAAAGTGGTTGCCCGCTTTCCCCCTTTCCCTCCCCTTCAAGCATCACTTGAGGTTTGGCCTTTATTAAGAGCTGCTATAAAAACAGCTTACGTGTTAGGACAAGCCCAGGGATATACAATACTCAGGCATTCCTCTGGATGCTTCACGCCCGGGAAGAGCCTCAATGTATGTCTGCCAAGGGTGCTGAGGCAAGTCCTCAGAGTTCTAATAGAAGACGGGTTATGAGGCCGACACCATTTGTATTGACCTTAGTATAATAGCGCTTTGTTGTCTCTCTTGCCACAGGAAGGCTCCGTGGTTGTCCTACTTTAAGCCTTCGGTGCCTTTAGTGAGGGATACCTGAAAAATCTTAAAAAAAGGCTTAGCGCCCACCTCACCCCTCCACCCCCAGGCCAACAACCAACTTGCTCACATGCTATTTACTCCAGCATAAAGCTGGAAGTCTGTAACACTAAAGGATTTACCCAATGGATCTGACTTAGTATGTAACATAGAAAAAGCTTGTTCACCTGTTGTCCTCATTTTGTCCTCTGGTGAATTCAACTGGAAGCTCCATCTATAGTCTGAAGATTACCATCTGAAAGAACTAGTGGTTCCCAATCCCCACATTTAAAATGGAATCTTTGTTTATTTAAAGTAAATAAGCTACTTTTCCTTACTGGGTCTGGCTTCTCTGGCCCTTCGAATACGTCTGCTGTTTTGAATGTTCCTGCATATAAGAATTAAGACCAAGGGAGGGGAGAGAGAAACCCACACAAAGACAATACACTAAGACCACTGAACTGTTAAACATTTCCACTTGCCAGTTAAATTTCTTGTAGAGTGTTGCTTGTTTGGAATTTATTTCTTGTCTCTGATTTTAAGGTTGCATCTGGAAAAGACTAAAGGCTTCAGTGCCCTCCCCACCCCCCTACCAGAAGTGAACAAAAAGCATTTTACCTAAAGCACAGCAAAAGGTACTTGGATTCAATCACAAACATGAATGCTTAAAGCTGCAGAAATTTCCTCAACACTCAGCCTTTATCACTCAGCTGGATTTTCCTTCAACAATCACTACTCCAAGCATTGAGGGAAAACACAACTTTTAATCATACTCCAGTCGTTTCACAATGCATTCTAATAGCAGCGGATCAGAACAGTACTGCATTATTACTTGCCAACAGAACAGACAGACCAGAAGTCAAGACAACTGCATTCTCTGTGTAGTCTGCAAAAAAAAACTAAAACAAGTAAGCCCCACCCCCCCTTCCCTCCAAAATCAGGAGAAAAAATTTACTCAAGTATGCTGATAAACTCACTGCAAGGTCTCACACTCTCACTAGGAGAACAGAAGGCAGAGCCAAGAGCTTATATGCAAGTCAAAATCCTGAATAGCCTCATGAGGGATGAAATGAAGCCTCTGCAAAGGAAAATTCTTTCAAAACCCACATGTCCCCCCAAGTGCCCATAGAAAAGGCCAATAGTGTAAACACCAGCTAACACTAGATGAGATGATCGTAAGCATTTAAAGTTAACATGCAAACTTCGGAAATGTCACAGTATTTTATTACTCTAGTTTAACAACTGTCAATGTATAGATCCCTAAGTCTCTGGAAACAGTGTAAGTGTAGTTACCTGTTATTCTGATCATAATCTCCCACCTGTCTAAGAGGTATTTACTCCTTATTTAGAGGGCCTCTATTGCCATATGCCTGGAATTATTAAAATGCTCATCACTTTACGAAGGATAAAATGTCTTTCCTGCCTTAAGTTATATTCGTTCTTCTGCTCAACTCCTGATCTTGTCCATTAAAGGGTGTCCGAAGACCAAGTTTCTGAAAGATGAGAAGAATCCCCCCAAGATTGCCCAACACTAACTACAAACAAACAATATTTTATTTAAATAAGGACACAGCTTTCTAAAAGCATACATTCTCTATTAAAATGTTTTATTTTGAACGATTTAATGGTTTTCTGCACAATATACACAACATTAACATATCTTATTTTTGTTAACAGCACATTAATGCTATCCTTTCATGGGGTTTTCAGAGATTCAATGCTCAACAAATTTCCTTAGTTTTGTAAACATTACCTTGTGATTATTAAGGTACTCATCTCAAGAGGCTTTTAAGAATTACTTGCCTCTGAGTGAGGTGTGTTAGCCCATCATGGAAGCCTACAGGCACAAGGCCTGTCTAATTTTAAAAAGGCTAGATGGGAAAATTTCTCACAATCCTGGAATCCCCTGGGGAAAGGATCAGGAAAAATGGTCATGTTGAATACTTAATAGCTTCTTAATAAAAATAAGCACTTATCCCTAACATGCAATACAGCAGATGCAAGTTAAACTTATCTGTTAACAGCTGCCTGCTGTTTTCTGCTCCCAGATGGAATGAAGCAACTCTTCTGATAATGAAGAGAAACCTGTCTGAGGCAAACGAAAGATTGGCAAACAGCACAGCCTCGTCTCAATCCACTTGATCCCACTCATCTCTGAATTATTTCAGCTTCTTTTATTCCAGGATTAATGTAGTATCATTTTCATTTCACTTTTTTATTCTGCTTTTGTAAAAGCAGTAGTTGGAGATGGACATTTGATCTTCCTTGTATTTTTCATCAATTCGTTATTTTTGTGGGTATGAGCTTGATAAGCCATTAACTTTAAAATGGTAGATTCCATTAACTTTAAAATGGTAGATTCCATTAACTTTTAAATTGGTAGATTCCATTAACTTTTAAATGGTAGATTCCATTAACTTTTAAATTGGTAGATTCCATTAACTTTAAATCGGTAGTTTTCATTTGCTCAATTTTTTTTTTTTTTGGCATATGCAGACAATGTGTTCATCAGTAGTAAGGATCTCAGGGTTACGCTTTTTCCCCAATGGAGATATGCAATATAATCTTTTCTGCCTTTACTTATCATTCACCAAGGAGCTGTTCCCTCTCCATCTAGGCCGTCATATTGCCAGGCTGGTTATGACTCAGAAGATGTTATCTGAAAAAAGTCTACAGAAAAAAAAAGGTTTCCCCTCCCTCATCAACAAAAGCCCACCCTTTTATCAGTTATGACTTTCAAATACTTAAGATGCAAATTTAAAATATACAATTTACAATAATTTTGAAGCATACCTTAACATCTTGTTTTGCAGTCAGAAAGGAAAAATATTTTTCCTACACTAAAAAAAAACTTGTTTATACACAACTGAAAATAGAATCTTACTTGATAATACAAAAGCTACCATCAGAAGAAATCCCTTCAGGATCATTAAGCCACTTCCTTTGCTCTGAAGCTCCTACAGTAGTATTAAGTTACATTAAATCACCTGAAAAACATTCCAAAAGAGAACCACATACTACCACATCCAAACAACTTCAGCGTTTTAAAAAATTCCCAAGATTTTATCTAAGTCAGCCCCGTGGGCTAGATCAACCCCCAGTCCAATATTTTCCTTCCCAAGGCCCTACACTTCGAATCCGGTGGATCTTCAAGAACTTCCCCAGCTGCCCAATTCAAAAATTGGGATAAAACAAAAACTAGAGGATTGCGAGTTACTTGCCAACTTGGAAGTTGAGATTTCTTTAGTTTTTCCATCCTAAGTATTTAAGTTCTCTGCATGAGTTATCTGAAATCATAAACTAAACAATTACCTAAACCCAACCCTCCCAAACCCAACCAAACAGGCCACTGCCAACTACTCATCACCAAAATTTGCCCCTCCCCTTTAATAAAAGGTATTTTTAAAGACACATTTGAAAACTTAACTTCAACATTTGGCCTAGTCAAGCTCTTCTGAAGTTCTCCTGAGATGACTGAATATGAACCAAAGCTGCACTGTGCTGTAATTTCAGCTTCAACTGGGAATACTCTTCCAAGGAAAAAAGCAGCTCCAGTCCCTGAAGGTGTTCGTGCCAACAGCATAGCAGTACAATCCTTCTCTAACCCAGTTTGTCAATAGTACTATAGCATCTGTGGAAAATCTTAGGGAAAAAAAACATTTCCTCCCCCACCCTTTTCCCTGTTAAGCCCATCCCAAAATACTTCAAGTAAAAACAATGCGTTTAAGAAGTTACGTACTTTGAAAATCTGAAAATCTGATTACGGGGTGGAAAAAAGAATAACTACCAGCCATTTCTCCAATGGATACTTCTGCCACAGACCTCAAAGTGAGAGCAGCTCGTATTTTAGTTTCTAGAAACTGTAAACCTGTGGTGTTCTGATTATCCTGATACTGGATTTTCTTTTTTCCTGATAACTCGAGTCATTTGCCTTTGGGAGTCTAGACAGACCGACCTAAGGGGAAAAGAACTCAAAACATATTTTGCCCCCCAACCCCACAAGACTTACCCCCCCAGTTACACACCGAGGTCCACATTTAGAAAACTTTAATACGGGGTGAGGAAAGAAAAACGGGTCATCCATTCACAGAACTGAAATGCTTCACTACTCCAAGCTAAAAATAAAAACTGCTTACAAAACTTGCCAAAACGCTGTCTCAAAGTTGTTCTACCAAACCCATTTGGTTTCCCTCAAATTGGTTTAAAAAAAAAAAACTTGCCATCTACCATTCCTCCGGGCTTGGAAGTCTGCCCTCAAAAGCTTCAGACAAGATGCATGAGAACATAAGCCTGAAAAAGAGAAACCTACAACACCCGGAAATCGGCCTACACCCGCGTAATAAATCCCTTGACGCTTAAGTACACAACTCCCCCATTACCATTAAGAAAGTGAAGATTACCATACTCAAGTTGCCAAAAAAAACAAACCACCACGGTATCGCCGACCTGACGGATTTTCACCACGCCACTCCACGGTACCGCCGACCTGACGGATTTTTACCACGCCACTCGCTCTCCCTGCGGCCTTGCACACTGGGCTGCTGCTCTAGGATCCTCTATCTATCCTCCACTCCGCCTGCTCGCCGCCGCCGCGTGGTCGCCAAGCCAAGCCGCCCGCTAGCTTCATCACCACACCGCGCCGGCTCCTCCTTCCTGGAATCCTCTCCTAGCTCCACCTCCAATCGTTAGGGCTCCTTCCTTCTTCCTAGCTGCCTTCACCACACCGCACTGGCTCCCGGACTCCTCCTTCCTATCTTCAGCACGAACTGCTGCTCGCTCCTCAGTCCTAGCTTCACCAAACACTGGCTCCTGGAATCCTGTCTTCCTAGATTCGCTCAATCCACTTCTGTGTAGCACCTGGGTCAGCTGCCAATTAACGCTAGTCCTCAGGGCTTAACGAATCATCTTAACTCAAAGTCCAATGCAAAAATGCTAAGTTGGTGGTTATTCTTGATCTTCAATTGTTATGCAAGTCCTTTAAATTTTCCAAAGAAAACTAAGCTACTATACTTAAGGCGTTCCGAATTTTTAACTCTTCCAAAACCATTCTTAATTTTTAAATTACTTCAGTCCTTTTAGTAGCTTTTTGCTGTGATTTTTAACTTACTTCCCTTTCAGATTCCAGATATTCTTCTAAGTTGGTCCTGGTCTACAGTAGTTTGACCCTCATCTCAAATCTAACTTCTGCATCACCGGAGATTAAATTGGTAGGCTTTTATAAGAAATTCTTAGTATTATAATTAATTTCCCTAGTTTTTCTTTTCTTGTAGTTTATCCAATCTTTTGGCTTTAAATTTTTCTAAATTTTTGACGTCTATCTTGTACGCTTGTATCCAATAGTTGTCTTAGCTTTTCATTTTCTATCTGAAACACTTTTCCTTGACAGTATTTTCAACCTTGTTTCTATCTTCTAGTTTACTAAATTTCTATCTGCGCCTTTAGTTGCTTTGGTTTCCCAGTTTGTCTAAATACTTTTTCTTCTGCTTCCTACCTTTCGGGTTTAAAATTAGTTTTCCTGTCTTCTAGATGGCGTCTGTCTCATCTTCTAGTTTTCCTATCTTCTAAGACTTTTCTTCACCTTCCTGTACTTCTGTCTTCTGAGTTTTCCACTTCTAATTTCTAATCTTCTTTCTCCATATTTTTATCCTACCACTCTTAATTGGTATTTCCGTCAATTTTTAGCAAATAATGCCTTAAGATCAACTAGGCTTCAAATAACGCAATCTTTCCTGCGCCACGAATTTGAAGGCGCTCTTAAATCACCTTCAATTCAATCTTTAAAACAGGCCTTTTAGAATATTTTTATCATCCACAATTTGACTTTTAAAAACGACCTTTAGGTTCTATCTATCTCATCTACGCTTTATTATCATCTAAAAGGCTGCTCTTTAATTTAAGGCTTCTCTGAATTTCGGACTTAGCAGTCCTATCTTTCGACTATTTAAAATTATTTTACTCCATTAAGAAGCTTCATCTCAACCTCCGTCATATTCTAGAAATCTTTTTTCTCCTCTTCCTTTCTCCGACTACTTTTTAAATAAGTCTTCATTATTTTTCCTTCAATAAGATCTTAAGTTATCAAAATTACTTTAAAAACAACGTTAAGCAATCTCAATAACTAATAACTATCTTCGCTATTTACACTTCCTAAACAATTAACCTCTACCCTTCTCAACAGAAAAACTTATCTGTAGTCTCCTCAAGCAGTGCCTCCTGCCTCACCAGCCTCCTCCGCGCTCGCTGCCTGAACGCCTGTCGCAGAGCCCGGAGGAGCGTATTTATAGACCAAGGACTACTCACCCTGCTGAATTTAATAACCCTCCGCCATCTTTGTGAGGGAAGCAAAAATAGTTCCTCGGAAAGGTTAAAAATAGAATCTGATTTACAAGCCTTTCTAGATTTTTCTAACACTTTATGCAACTTGATTGTAAATTATATACCCAGAAACCTTTAAGACTTATTAGCAAGTAGATTTGAGCTAAAAATTTAGGTAAAAACAGTGAAAATCACATTTAAGTAGACCATCAAACAGTTCACAAAAACTCAGAGCCATTACTCGGGAATTTTTAATTACTCTTAAATGCTTTTCATGTTTTCTTGGAGTATAGTAGGTACTACTTAGTGCTTTTTGAAGGAAGGTTAAAATGGTTTGCTGATGGCCTTAATTTCCATTATATGAGCATCAGCCTTGCAATACCGCAGCCATTTTAGAAGAAACAAAGTTGAGGGGGTGGGGGTTAATCCCCAAACTGCCTCAAATCCTGCGAGTTGTTCTGAGTTATACCATACACGTTTTGATTGCCATTTTATTTCAGACATCCCAGTATCCCAGGTTATCTGCTTAAGAAGTCTACTAAATGTGGAAATCCACTTAGAGAAAATGTCTCTAGTAGCCACAACATAGTGTTGACTCCTGCAACGGAGCTGGCGCCCCAATTCCGAGGCTTTCTAAAATCTGAGGCACCGGGCGGACTTGTGTTCCTTATTTTAGATGCTTTATGTTCTTGTTTCTCTAGTTACTAAACACCAGCTAGACCCCTACACTTTTGCTTTCCTTCTTAGACATTTTAAGTCAAGCCTGTATTAACTTTTTGCTCTTTACAAACGTGAACCGTTTCTAAGCTTCCGGGCTTCTCTCATGAAAGTTATCAAAATCCAAATCTGCTGTCAAAACCTATGTTTAATTGTCCTCTTTACCCAAAAAAGTGTTTTTGCCTGCAAAGACACAGCGACCTTGGGCAGCCAGTCAGGGAACACGTTCTGGAACGTTTACGTACTTTTGCTCATGGGTTTGCTTTTCTAGCCTTGTGTTTTACAGACTGTGTATATTTCCCGTTGGGCTGCATCTTTAAGACTGTAACACTACAGTTAGAAAAGCAAAGCTCTTCTCCAAACCCACAGCCTTTTCCTTATGCACAGTTGGACTTTTCTTTTTAAAAACTCTCTGGTGTGTCCCCCTGTGTCGTGCCCCCCCCCCCCCCCCCCGCAAAGGGCAAGCTGAGTTAGCACTGTGACATCAGAACCCGCTGCGGGGACTCAAGAATTCTAAAGACACCCCGGTTTCTGGGGCGGAAAAGGGACCTGCCTCCCAGGCGACGCCTGAAGATTAGGAAATGAAAATGGCGCCGGGGGTCCCAGGCCCCGGTTTCCACGCGGGTAAAGCGGCTACGCAGAGAAGAACCGAGCGAGAAGCTGGAACGGCGTGAGCGCGTCCCCACCGGCTGCGCTCCCTCCAGCCGGGCTCAGTTTCCAGAACCCTCGGGCGGCCAGGCCGGGGATGGGACGGGGGTGGGGCGGCCCTGGAACCGGGACAGATGCTGGGGGAGGGGCGCGGCCGAGGCCCACACCCCCACCGCCCCGCGCAGGGATACGAGGGCCGTGAGCCGCCGCCTGCCTTTGTGAGGCGTCGGCTCGGGGGCGGGCGCCGCCGGTTCTAACCGGCTCCAGCCGGTCCCGGCCGCCTCCGGGAGCGGTGGCGGTTTGTGCAGCGTGCCAGTGCGCATGCGCGCCCGCCCCCGGGCCTGTGCGGGTCCAGAGAATGGCGTGGGGGAGGGTTCGCTGGGCTCGTGGCTGGGGGCTTCCGGGCCGCCCCTCCGCCCTTTACCAGAGGTGGGCTGGCCGTCTCCTCTTGGGATTGCCGCCCTCCTTCTCTTTTCAGCCTGGGTCGGCCTTTCCTTCCTCTCTCTTGTCCTTCGTCACTCCCTCATTATTATCTCAGTCATCCATTAATTAAAAAGTCACACATCAGCCCCTTGTAATTATCAAATGCTGTTTTTTTCTATTGTGAGGTCCCTTGGGTGTTGGTATGTCACCAGGTCTTATTAGTCTAGAATGCTGGAGGTGGAGGAGGCCTCAGAGACTGGCCTAGCAGCTGCCTCGTTTTTTTGAAAAGAAACTGAAGTGAGACGAAAGGGAGAGAGCTCCAGGCACAGAGTGGTTTAAAGCTTGGAGCCCAGGACGGGGTGGTGACACCCTCCCTCTCCTCCTCTCTCACCTCCAGGGTCTTTATTCTAGAACCTACGAAATGGCCTTTGGGCAGTAAATTCAAGAGGGGAAGATGGAGTGGAAGTGACAGGGTATAGGTTAGGATAGCAGTTAAATAATGACAGGAATTGTATAAACTTGGTACTCTGTATTTTGAAAACCCCTTAGGCTCCTGTAAATGACAGTGGTTTTGACAAGGTGGGGGAGCCCGCCTGGGGGTCTCTAGCAAATGAGGGTACCGTCTCGGGTGCCCCACCTTCCCCTCACCCCCAGTGAAGCGGAGCTGTTCAAGCAGCTATTCTAAACTGCCCTTGGCAAAGCTGTTGTTGTTTCATCTTTCTTTCTTTCTTCTCCCCGCCCCCTCTTTCCTTGTGAGAGTGGAATATTACTGAGATGCAGATGGTTCCCTTCAGACACAGTCTTGATGTTAGCTCTGGGATTGGAAAATTTTTATTAGAATTTTAGCGCTGCAAGGGGGAAAAGTGAGTTGGGTCACCTCATTTTACAAATGGAATTTGGGAGCCTGGGGAGTTTGTGATTTGCCTAAAATCAGACACAGCTAATTAGTACCAGAAGCTATTATTGAATCCTAGGATTTGACCTCAGGGTGCCTCCCTTCCCCCACATCCACCCACCCCATGCTGCCCTCTCCCAGTACTTGTGTCCACTTCCTCACCTTTTCTCCAGGGCTGGGGGAGGACCTAGGACCCCCTCTGTTATCTACACTCTCCTATTCTGGAGCCCACGAGATGAGTATTAAGAGCCCTAAGATGCTTCCAGTAATTGTCAGTGTCGCTAAACTAGTCACTTCCATTCCCTTTACAGATTATAGCATCTTCTTTATGCTGTTAAAATGGCTGCACTGTATATTATTTGGTTAATTCTCTCTGGGTTTGGGAAAAGAAACAGAAATTTGAATGAAGCTCAGCACTCAGGAATCTCTTGTGCTGAAAGAGAGATGGCTTGCCAAGGCCAGAGAGAAAATTCTGATTTTTTTCCCAGTTGGTAAGTGAAAATGTTTTAGAGAAGATTATGGGCACTAATCCCTGTGTTTACCGTTTAGGCCCAAACATTTACTGCCTTCGCCTCTCCTAGCTTTTGTCTCACGAAACGGTGTCTGGCTGTCTCCAAAATCTTCTAATTCCTTCCTCCTCTTTATATAGTGAGTCTCTTCTTTTCTGGAAGGTTTATTTAAACAAGATGGCCTAAAATCGCTGTGTTCTTTGGTGAGGAGACTAATAATACGTTTGATTACGTGCCCTGCTCTCAACTCTTTGAGCTCAGGATCCCTTTAACATAAAACTAAATTTTTTCAGGGCACCTTTTCTCTCGCCTGCATCCCTGTTCCTTGTAACTTCAGAATGTCTGATTGTGTCCGCTCTGTCCGCTGGTACGTCAGTATCCTGTCTATTCCCCTCTACCTCAGTCTGAACCCTGGTCTTCATTTAGGCCTCAGGACACAAATTAAGAGGACAAATCCATTTTAGCTGGTCATCTAGTGCTCTCTGCTCCCCACCCTCCGAAAAGCCCAGGCTAAAAATAGGAGACCTTGGTTCTGGTTTCTGGCAGTCACTCCCCTGACAAACAGCCTATGACCTTGGGCACTAACCCAAATAACTTCTCAGTGGCAATTTCCTTATGTGTAAAATGAGGAGATTAGATGGAAGAAGTGATGCTGCTAATTCTATAAAATGCAGTAAACAAAGAGATGGGAAGAGAACACGGAAGATTTTGTGCCTCCTGGCTGTGGCTTCAAGGAGGTGGGGCCCTAAAAACACTGAAGTAGCAAAAATTTAGAATCAGGCCTCCTGTCAGCAAGGCCCTGCCTAATCCTCCAGACTCACGTCAGGCCAGAAACCTCCAGAGAATGCCAGAATCCATTCCACCTCTCCCTTTTTAGCAAGGCCAGCCAGGCTTAGTCAGAGCTTCTGAGGCCCTTCATTTCTGGGTCTGGGGTCCAGAGGCCAGTCTTCAGCTACCCCTGGATTCCCCCAGGTCTCTTTTGTTTGATTTTATCTAATCCTGTGATTTTTGTCTAATCCTGCATTACCAGAGACTGTTCTGGAAATGCAGGTCAGAAATAAAAGGCAAGGAGGGTCTCAAAAAAACAACTTTCTTGTTTTCTCAAGACTCCAGGAATTTGCAGTTCCTCCTGACGCCCACGTTCCCAGAGCTGATCTCTGGAACAACTTGCACACACATTCGGCTCCCTCATCATTGCACAGCAGCCAGCTCCTGCGGCAGGAAAAAACCCACAGAGATGACACGGCTCAGCTCCATTTTACGGAAGAGAGTTGGTTCTTTTCTAGGGGATTTTGGACAGTTAAAAATGTACCCTGGGCCGGCCCCGTGGCTTGGTGGTTAAGTGCACGCACTCCGATGCTGGTGGCCCGGGTTCGGATCCCGGGCGTGCACCGAGGCACCACTTCTCCGTCCATCCTGAGGCCGAGTCCCACATACAGCAACTAGAAGGATGTGCAGCTATGACATACAACTATCTACTGGGGCTTTGGGGGGAAAAAATAAATAAATAAAAT